AAGAAAAGAAAGCAATCAACGAAATGTTTCCACTGGAAGCCTCTATGAGTCTAATGTCTATCTTTAAAAAGGACCACTCAGTCTCAGGCACTTAGAATTTTCTGAAAACAAGAAACACTAGCAAATATGCAACTCTGTAAATCATTCAGACAGCAAGAAACTCCACTCTAGTACTCTCATATGAAGGGTATACTATTAATCTAGCTTCAAATTCCAACAGCAAGTGTATATTCATGAAATACTCATACATGTGATAGCAGCAAAAGAAGTTACACATACTACAGACTAATATTGATGACCAAACAGTGTCAAAAGGCCATATAAAAATCCATTCCTTAGCCAACTAATAACTTACTTTTTCCTTATCCATTTTCAGTGAATTGAGCTCCTCCTGGAAAGACTCATTCAGCTTCTGTTCCTCTGAGAATATAAAGAAATCAGACAATACATTTTTTCCTTTCAAGAAAGTAATTTAATAAAACAAACAATGAAAATGAACTTCAAATAGCAAACTTTTATACTTCATAGAGCATTTTCCCTGCAGAATACCTTGTAATTTTAGCTGCAGATTTGACAATTTCTCACGTTCTTTTTCCAGTTCTAACCTAAGTTGTTTCGTTTGTAACTCATGAGTGGCTTGCACCGCTGCCAGCGATCTATTTTTCTCTTCTAGCAAATCTGCAAGCTCCTAGAAGGCATTTATATATCCATTGTCAAGTTTATTTGTCATTCAGAAAAATGAACAATGAAAAAGAAGAGACAGCAGAAAAAAGAAAATATCATCATGCCTACAGAAAAATCTTTCCAAGGGTACTCAAAAAGAAAAGAGTAAGCTAGAAATAAAAGGAACATAATTTGTAATAGGGGGGTACCACACCTATAATATCCAGTACAAATAAAAATCTAGAAATTTTTAAATCAAGATCCAACCTAAGGTGAGGAAATTGTTTTAACAATAAAGTTGCTCAAGAAAATCCCTCAAAAGAAAAGAGAACACAACAGAAAATGGGGTGCTATTACCTTTTCTTTCCCATGTGAAGTGAAATGTTTATTCTCCATCTTACTTTGAATGGTTTCAGGTTGAATGGCATCTGAAACTCCATTGCCTATTCTGTCCTGTTTAGAAAACACACCATTCTGCATTTGGTTTCCAGCATGCCGGTTCTTTACTTGAGCAGTAAGTTTACTCTGTCGGCTTGGTGATAAATCACCACTTCCCTACAGGAATACAAACTTTTTTCAAAAAATCCCCAATAGATTATCAATAATCGGCATGTCTTATTTGAAAATATTACAAAAGCAGCACAACGTTTCAACTTGTAGGCAGAAAAATCATGCTTAAGAGAACACAATATGAACACACACAAACAAAACAATCCACCGTACAGAGAAAGAAGAAAGAAATAATAATCTATAACTTGTAGCATAATGTGTAACACTCACATAGTATAACAGACTATCTAAATATTAAAGTCAGCCAATATTGAAAACTAAAGATTATTAAATGCAGTGTAGACATTGACTTTTGACTAAACAGACACCTATCCCAACCATGAGGTTTTGTATGCCCCTCCTAACACTTGTGACTACCTAGTCTTTCCATTTGGATTTTACACTGGCTAAAGAAACAAAAGCTCTACATACACATTCTATTCAACATATTGAAATCTGGTTTCATCTCATTAAAACTCCTAGACCATCAAAAGAAGGCCCCCTCAAGTCGGCAAATTTTGTTCATCACTCGGTTGAGAAGTACTAAACTAATTGAAGGCCAGTGTATATAGCCGACCAATGAATAACAGAACAATGGCAAGGGAAGGTCATATACCATGGCCAGAATATCATGTGCCAAGATGTATTGCACAGTGCAGCTATACAAGCAGCTGGCCTTTTCCTAAGTCATAAGTTGTACAAGATAACTGCAGCACAAAAAACATCAGAAACAGAACACTGGATACATTTGACCATAAATATATTATCAACCACATTAGACTTAAGATTATAAGTTGAAGCAAATACCATATACAAAAACTCATGAAGAACTAACAGCACAAATAAAACAAATCTCACAAAGCATAAACTCTAGCAGAATAAAGTTTACTAAAGCCGTAAGCAGCCACCTTGAGAACATTAATGCTGTTAGTTGACGCTTTGGAGTTTTCATTTTTAGATGCACTCAAAGCAGCATTTGTTGTATCCAGATTTTGCTTCAGTGAGCCATTTTCTCGGTTCAATCTGGAAATTTGATCCTGCAATATGGCAATTTTAAGGAATTGTAATAAAAAAGAAAAGCCAAAAGCATGAAATTGAACATCTGGAAAGAGTGGATAGGACTAGCTCTCATAACGACCTTCACATGCAAAACAATGACTTATATCTTGAACAGATATCATGCGACTCCCCTTTTTTATTTTAGAAATAAACAGACAAAAGAGCACTGTGCACCTATAAACCATGGGTTCAGCTAGTATGAAAGATTCACCACATGACCAACTCAGCAGCAACATGAAATCATCCATCTCATTAAGCATGTGAAATTTGCTGGCCAGAGTTAAAATAATTTATTACAAACAATGCATCGATCACTGATCATCGTAGAGACAAATATCATATTCATCGAAACAGGCAAAACCTTATGGCAATAGCCAAGCTGGATGGCAAAGATTGCAGTTAAGTGATGAAATCTAGTTTATAGAACAAGGTAGCAAATAAATATATTTATATATCCAATAGAATATAAACTAGAGCATCCATGTTTTCAAGACATATAACTTAGACAAACTTTATACATGGAGGAAGCAAGTTAATTTTATAACCATCTTATAAGTTTAGTATTAGCCTTTTCAATATAGTTGGCTTAATCCTGACTTCATACTAGGACTTCATTTTGAACCTACTTAAGAAACAAAAATCAAGCAAATAAGCAGCATAATACCTCTTTTTCTTTTAATAAGGCCGCATAATTAACTGATAATGCTTTAATTTCTGCCTCAGATCCTTGAAGCCTCTTAATTTCCGCCTTGTATTGTTCAATCTACAAGAATCACAAACAATAGTAAACGCCATACGGTAACACAATGCACTCAGTAGCTAGAAATGAATTTTTTTTTTTAAAAACAAACAAACAAAATTTCATGAATTTTAACTTTCAAAACCATACAAATGAAAGAAAACTAATAAAACCTAATTCTAAAAAATTCAGGCATGAAAACTAAAAAATACCTCCGGATTTCGTGGGGAGTCTATCCCATTAGAGAGCGGAGACCGAGAAACTGACTTAAAGTGGGCAAACCTGTGAGAATTTCTCCGATCAGAGACCGGTGTGGCGTCTCCATTGCCTGAACCGTTGATTGTGAGCTCTTCGTCGTCGTCGTCGTCATCTTCATGCACATCAAGTGCAATCTTGTTTAGGTTTTCCTTCAAATTCGCAATGGTTCCCCACATCCTTAAATTCAAATCCTAAAGATCAATAAAGAGTGTGTATAGGGTTTATAAAAGAGAAGAAATGAAAGATTAAAACTCCTCGGTAATTTGATGAATTTTGGCAGAGAAATGTACCGGTGAAGATTTTGCGGGTAGATCTGAGATGGGAATAAAAACGATTTGAAGTAATTAATTTATTAAATGTAATTATTTTGATTTTGTATGTGCTAGTGAGAGAGAAGGTGAATGAATGAATACCCTTGTATTGTACTATTGTGGATTTTGAAGCGGGTCCAAGATTGGCCCGTTAGAACTTAAAATTCATACGTAGTCGAAACTTTACGCAATCATTAATTCAAACCGATATTTCGGTCTAATCGGTCGGTCCTTTTCAATTTACCGCCATGGTAAGCTGTGTTTTGTATCTTTCTTTACCTTTTTACCCCCTTGGTCGACTCAAGTTAAGAGAAAGCTATTTCTTATTTGGGATCAAAATTTTATTAGCGTATCATGCAAGAGAATTTCAAATAATTATTCCTTGCAAAGGTGTCCTAAAGAAAAAGTGAAAATTGGGCTTTCGTACCATCAACATAAGCCCATTTACTAAAAGAGCCCGTCCCATGCTCATGAAAGGCCGAGATCCAATGAATTTCACCCTTCCTCTATAAATACTGAACCATATTGTCAATTAATATAAGTCTAGGGTTTATGCAATTGCTAGGTCGGCGTGAAGGTTTATATTTTTGATTTTGTCAACAGTTTATTAGTAATTTGTGTTTGAGAAGTTATAGGTAGATGCGATGACGATAGTAGAAAAGAGGAAAATCATGATTGTGGGACGCTTTAGCAGCTGCCCTGCAAGATGAGTCTCTTGTTTTGGTTCGTATTCACCGAGCATCCAATAATCTTTTTTGTTACAACTGAACAAATGTTCGGTAACGAAGGGACCTATGGAGGGAGTGCTACATCAAATGCACTTTTATCCAAGTTTACCTTCGGAAATTGACATCGAAAGTGGATCATCTGAATCTGACGTCTATTCAAGACCCTTTCTTTTACGATCCAATGTTCGTACAAAGTTTCTTCATACATTTATCAATAATCCTGTATTAAAAAAAATTAATTCTTGTAGCGAAGGTCCCAGCAGGGAGGTACGAACTCTTAAAATGAGACCTCTCTAACATCATACAAAACCTTCGCATACTAATTTGCCGAATCGTAGGACACCCTCAACCCTTCAATTTTTGGGCGTCTTGAACCCTCGGCTATATTATCACTTAAAATAATTTTGAATTTTTCACTTTCTTGCTGGTTTTCTTTCTTTATTCCCAGATTTTGGTGTTGGTTTTCTTTCTTTTATGTGTTCTTTTATTACAAAATTTTGGTATTATATTTTGTCATGTAAAGTGAAGGTACCATTTTTTTTTTGTCATGGCCCCATGGGAGCTGAGGATTTTGTGGAATTTTGGAAACGAGATCTCATATCGATGCAAAAGGCATCGCCGAACGACACTGAATAATACCGGAGATTGAAACTGCTAAACAGAAATTAAAATTTAATGATAATTTGATGATAGTTCATGGTTTTGGGCCATTAAGTAGCATATTGATTAGGTTACAACAACGATCACATTTAAGCCATCCTTGGAACGCGACATATGTAAAGGATTGAGGTTGAGGAAGCATTCAGGGCCTTTCCCATTTCTGCGTATAATTGGGTTGCACAATCTTTTGGAGATGATTGAGAATCTGTGTATGAGCACAAGAACTACGAACATATAACACAGAGCAATTCACAATACCCCGTCACATTTGGATTTTCCCATTTTCTAAGCGAAAATATGCCATATACATAAATGTAAATCTGATTGATTCTTTATATTTATATACGTACAACAATAAGGTATAATCACATCATATCTTCGTTTTAACGAAGACCAGAGTAGGCGTAAAAACCGCCTAGTTCCTATATGCACTTTAATTAGGTGTCATTTGGACCTCACTACGTAAGACGCCCATATCTCATCTGCTGGAGGTGGCGGCTGAACCCAATGACCTGGAATGCGGCTGCAAAAAAGTAGCCCGGAGTCAGACAAATGCACATTTAACTATGTGCTTTTATATCTTCTTACGCACAAAAATATTTAAGTCAGTAGTTCACCATAATACAGCTATATTATATTTCAATAGAAATGAAAAAAATTGTAGGTCTTGAAGTGGAAAGATTGGTGGTCGTAGAGAGTCTAGAGACATGCTTATGGTAGAGAAGGGGATGCTCCGGATGGATAAAATGATGTCATTGGTGGTTGTAGCAAACGATAAAAAAGCAGAGGCCAGGTTCATCAAATAGTATTTTAGTACTAATCAACTTCCAAGTATGGCGGTACACTACTCAATCTGGTACCTGTTCCTTCCCCTCTACCTAGTGCTTCCAAATGCAGAATGTAGCTCCAGAGTGCAAAACAGATGGTGCATTAAACGGAACAATATTCATGATCAATGTCTAGTGAGCAGCAGAAGAGGATTGGAATGCTTACCTTCCACCTGGTCTGATATATGCATCCCATGTTCTTCGTACCTGCAAGGGTTGGACAGAATCGACTTGAGATCAAGTGCCTCTAGTATTGGTGACAAATTTTAATACAACAGATGCTGGTATCCAACATAAGGGTATTTGGGGCTCAGTTTCAAGCTGAACCCTTTGTGATCACAGAATTAGAAAATGGCTTCTGAATAGAAGCAAGCAGACATATTGTCTGTAGAGGCAGAGATATTCTATGAGGCATAAGCAAATTCAAAGGAAGGTAGAAAATATCTGAAAATACCTCAATAAGTGTGCCCATGTCCGTATTGCTGCCATGATAGTAGTGATAGAATTCCATAGGTAAATTTGCCACAGAATCAAATACCCCAGCATAACCTTGCTTTTCAAATCTGTTTTTACCAGACTGTTTGTCTACGAAATTACTGGTCTCACTTTTGTCTATGCTCTCAGGTTTTTGGACTTTACTTTTCTCAATTCCTCCGTCATCATTGCTTCCATCTTTTGACACAGGTTCACAATTATCAATGGTTTTTCTATATTCTTCAGCAGTTGCAATGGCATCCTTAGCAGCATCTGTGTCTGCTGCAGCCAATGCTTGACGCTCTTCTTCCTCAACTGCAGCTCGCACTCTTTCAAGAAATTTGTCATCCTCCTCTGGAAGAAAATAGCCTGCATGATTTAACAGCAACAATAATGTTAACTCTCCTATATGATCGATATTATTTCCTGGAGTACATATATTTATTTATGTAAATAGATCCCATACATGTTACATACACAAACACTCAAGTAATAAGCAAATTCATTAACAAAAAGTAAAAATACTTATTGTCTTCTAGTGTTAAACAAAAGCATCCCTTACCACTATTTAATGGTTATAACAACACAACCAGCTGCCTTACCGCAAGTAGTCGCAATAAGCTTTTATGTTAAGATGATTGAAGTTTTACAACACACAAATGCCAAATAAAGGACATTAGAAAAATGGATTTCTAATTTTTTAGTTGAATTGTCACACAAACTTCATAATGGTCAGGGCCAATTCATACTTAAGAGTATAGAAGAGCATATATCTTCACTTTTACATGAAAGAACTATGTGGTTCCAGCTTGATTATAAATTTATAACCCAATCAACTATCAGTCTGATTAAATTGAAAATTACTATGAGTTTAAGAATTAGAGTTGTACCGAAAATTGCACTATAAAATTGATTGCAAGGTAGGTGGGCCAAAAAAAAAACAGGTACAAACACTAAATGAACAGCTAAGAAAATTTCAACAAACATACCTTGTTTCTTCAATTTTTTTATCCTGATAGAGCGCAATTCTTGCAATTTCTCCACAATCAAAACCAGTTCAAGCTGAAATATGAAAGATGGTGTAAGATAAAGGCTGTACAAGTGCAAACAAAAGAGTAATATACAAGTACCAAAAATAAGCAACGGTCTAACTATATCTGATAATCCAAGTTTATTAAGTACCAAAAATAAGCATTGGGCTAACTATATCTGATAATCCAAGTTTATTAGCACATCAGAATACACGGATCTTTATAAAAACGATAATGGTTCACCAAGCCAAAACTTATCTTACTATGACACAAACACCATATCATCTCATAGATCTTCATGGGAGTGAAAACATCTTGTATGATATTTTATACCAACTCTTACCTCAGATTCCAGTCTCTTTCTTTCCTCTTTTGCTTTAAGCTTGGCAATTTCATTCATCTTTTCAACCTGAAATCCCACTCTGATCAGTTACCAAATTCATAAACATGTATCACCCCAACTTTATGCAAATTACAAAAACAACTTTCTAATCGCATGATGAACAAGATTCAATGAGACCAAGGGCACTTAATGACACTACAAGGCAACAAAGTAGCAGAATATTGATTAAAGAAATAAGAAATTGATTTTAGTGATTCTATTGGTGAACAAAGAAACATCATTTCATTAAGCTAAACATGAAAGATTGGTGATAAAATGAACATGATCAGAACTTTTATCAAAACTTGATACTGTTTACCAAAAGGGATGAAAGGTCCAGGCTAATTAGAGAGCAGGGAATTCTCAAAACTGCACCATACTTGCTAGGAGCTAAATGCACCTAAATAAGTGGATTGTTTTCTTACACAAGCTTTTCATTCACGGTGCCTAAACAAAACCTGTGGTTATACAAATATTAAATTTCATGCATCAACTCAAATACATTTTAAGTTACGGAACTCATTACATTTGATGTCCTTTAGTGGTTGCCCATTTTGCCTACCAAAGTAATTAACCTCCACTATTTAATCCTATCAATGGCTCCTCCACTGGTCCTGTGTAAGAAACATATTTTTTAAATACATTAAAATTCTCAAGAAGTTTCAGTTTCCATAGAATCTGATATCAACCTACAGGAAATACAAGGGTTCCAAGCTTCGTGTATTTTAGTCAGATTTGAGATTTTGGCAACTTAAAACCACCATCATAAATCTTGAATTAAAAAGTTCCAGTTAGGGTTGACAACTGACTGAAATCAGTGATGAATGATGAATTGAAACTAATAATCCATCTATTGTAGAAATTTATAAAATGCATAACGGGTTCTTGGTACTCCATAAACAACTGACAAGCACCAATAATAGTCAAAGACCGCAAATTATTAATATCTAAAAATTCAAGTACCTTGCGTTTTGCAATATCCTTAGCAATCTCCCTAGCCCTCCACTCGTCAGCTTCTTGATCAGCTTGTTCAAATCTTTCACGCTTCTAAAGGTCAGAAAAAGATGTTAACACTCAAAATAAGCACTTTTGCAACATAACTTGAGAATAGGCAGCTAGAGCAAAAAATGCAAATTTACCTGGGCAAGCCTTTCTGCTATGCGTTTTCTCTTTCTTTTCCTCCACGTTTTATTACGTTTGGACTTATGTGCTTTATTAACCAATCTAACAGCTAAAGATTTCTCCTCCCATGATGTTGTTTCATCAGAAACAAACCTAAAAGGTTCCAGCTGAGCTCGTAGTTTTGCCATCAAAGAGTTTGCAGCTTCCAACGAACCTTTTTCTTGAAATTCCAAGCTAGTTCTTGCATCTTCCAAATGTTTTGAAAACATGGAAACACAATGATCTTTTGATCCATTTTCAATTTCTTTATAATAGTCTTTATTTTGTTTCATTACCATCAACATTTCTAGCTCTTTCTCCCTGTTTAAATGAGTAGTTTGATTTAAAAAGTTTACTACCTAAAGGAGTAACAATAATTTTATACTTTAATAACAACAAAAATTCGAGTAAAAACATAGAAGTAAAAGTAGAACATACATACATTGCTTTTGCGAGATTTAGAGTTTCTTGAAATTCTTTCAACTGATTGGACACGTTTCTGGTCTCCCAAAAAGCACTTGACCGTGGTGGATCAGGTGGCAACAAAGGGAACCAAGGCCGAGGAGGAGGTGCACCTGGCGGTGCAGTTTGAAATGGTATAGGGTTCATTACTAAGAAAGATTAAAAATAACAACTCAACTGCAACCAAAAGGAAAACCAATCCGTTAATCCGTTGCTATTTGATCGAAAATTAATTCCACATAGTAAAATGATTAATATAAAATAGTAACATTAATAAGGCTGCAATGTCAGTTCTCTTAAATGTCGTTACTATCTATGTTTTTCATTTTCTTTTTTTCATTTTGTTATTCCAATATCCCTAATTTTTTTTTAAATTCTTAAGCTGTTGAAATGAAAATTCGTATATTTGAACAGAAGATTCGATAACGTACATGATCAAAGGAAGTTCTCCCACGCTCTCTTTCGAAGATCTTCCCAAACCCTAAAACAGCTCTAAGTTTAAACGAACTGGTATCAAGGTAGTGCAAACTGCAATTGATGGACGGGGTAAGCGGAAACACATATTATTTCTTTAATAATAATTCAGTAAAAATTTAATCAAAATCGTCAGGATGGCCGAGTGGTCTAAGGCGCCAGACTCAAGTTCTGGTCTTCGAAAGAGGGCGTGGGTTCAAATCCCACTTCTGACAAATACACTTTAAGTTTTTTTGACCTGGGCCGTAAAGTAATTGAGCCCAATACTAAAACTTGAAACATTGTCAATTTCAAACTGTTGACTCTATCTGATGTATTCAAAATTATTTTCTAAGTTACAAATCAAAAGAAAACTAGCGCATTTACTATTTAGCATATGAGATTTGAAAAAATACAATTAAGTTTATGAAAACTAGTATTTAACTGACAGATGAAACGGACAGATGGACTTCCTTTTTTAATAGTTTTTCTGAATACAAATATTATTTTTTAAATGCTTAATTTTGACACCAATTATTGCGCGTATAAAATGTTAAAATGACTTAGAAGTCACACATGATATGTAACGCCCCACATGAGGTACATTGTTATTGTTTCCTCTTTCGCCCTTATTCGAGTTGGTTTTTGTTATTATTGTTTGATTTAGTGTTGGGTTGAATGTTGCCCTGAAATTGGTTGAAAATAGAAGAAGTTTAGTATTTCAGTCTTCGCCGGGCGAAGAAGAATCTTCGCCGCGGCAAGAGGTGTTGAAGCCACGGGGGAGCTGCTGGACAGTTTCGCCGCGGCGACAGAAGTTTCTTCGCCGCGGCGACAGGCCGTTTAAATTGTTTGTTGAGTTTTAGATATTTTCTTCCCTAAGGGCAATTTGACCTTTCTACCCCTAATTAGCAGGAAAGTGGGGAGTTATTTGTAAGGATTTTTCATGGAGAATATGTGTTAGGGGTGAGTTAGTAATGAATCAAAGGATATGGAGGAATTCCCAAAGAAGAGTAAGGGCAAAATGGGAATGAGTGTGTTTATATTTCATTAAAAGGAATTAGAATCAAAGAAACCCCTCATTTCTTCTTCTCAAACGCAACTTCCCATCCTTACTCCTCTCAACTTCTCTCTTCTTTTGATCAAGGTTTTCCAAGGGGTTTTGAAGTGATTTGGGGTGGAAAAGTAACCTAAGGCTCTAGGTAAGGATTTCTCCTTAAGCTGTGTGATTTGTGAATTTTAGTTCATTTTGGTATTTGAGGTTTTCATTCTTTTGGTTAAGATTAGAGGAAAGTCAAGCTAAACAAGTGAAAGGAAAAGTTGGTGAAGTTCTCCATAACAAGGTAAGTAAAACCCAACCCAAGTTGAGATTTTGAAATTTCTTGATTAGGGTTTTGATAGACTGATGTATGTATGTGATGGCATGTAATATGTCATGTATGAAGGATTAAATAGAGATTCTATGCCTTGTGATTGTTTATTCATTGCAAATATGAGAAATGGGTTGTTGGATTGGCAAGGTAGTTGAGATGGATTGAAGGGGTGTTATGGAACCCTTTTTGGAAGTGTTTTGTTTGACAGGTTATTATGGCTTTGTGAAGGGGTTTTCCCCATTTGGATGATTAGGAAAAGTTTTAGATCATGGCTATGATAGAGTTTTATAGTGCACATGAGTTGTTTGATGAAATGCCTAATAGAGTGAGTGTGAGTAATGAACCTTATTCTTGCATATGCTGTTGGCATCTCATAAGTGCATTGGTGAGATGAACCATCCATAGGCACTAGTTGTACAGGAAGAGTGACCTAAGAAAGTGTAAGGAAATGGTGTATGCAATTACCTATGAGTAGAGAGCTTAGTGGGTAAAATTACTCTAAGGGTAGAGAGCATTAAAAAATGCTACAATAGAATGATGAAGAGTAGTATAGTTGGGATGATGCTTTGTGACATCCACCCGACCGTTATGGGAATCGGATTGATGCTTTGTGATCATCATCGAATAGCCCTTAGAGAGATGGGTCGATGCTTTGTGATCGTCACCCAACGAGTAATAGAAATGGGGTAGATGCTTTGTGATCACTATCCGATTAGTTATTAGATAATGAGTTGATGCTTTGTGATTATCATCAAACAGTTAGTAGAAGCGGGTTGATGCTTGTGGATCATCACCCGACAGTGACTGAGGGGTTAATGCTTGGTGATCGTTACCCAAAAGTCATGAGGAACGGGTAGGTGCTAAGTGGTCTCACCGATAGTTAGGAGAACCGATAGGAGCTTTGTGATCCCCACTTGGTAGCCCTAAGAACGGGTTGGTATATGTGAATTCCCACCGATAGTTATGGAGAGTGAGATGGTGCTGTGTGAACGCCATCCGGCCGTACCTCGGTAAGAGAGGTATAGGTATTAGTAGAAACAGAAATAGAAGAGAATTAGAAAAGGAAAGAATTAAGAGTCACACCGGGGACAGACAGTTAGAGGGTTTTACTTACTGAGCATCTCGTTATTTTCCTTTGTGGATGCAGGTTCTAGGTGTTGATGCGGTTGGAGGGGCGTCGGCGAGCGAGGAGCAATAGCTACACTGTTCCCCTGTTTTGTCTTTTAAAATACATTTTTGTAAACAGTACTCTTTATGTATAAAAGACACATGAATTGTAATGAAAAGAAAACTTTGGGCCCAATTTTCTATTGTTATTATGCATGCATTGTACAGTTTTCAGTAGATGTTACATGATATGAGGAGATTGAATCAAATGAAAGGTGAATAGCAATATTTAAAGTGGTTTAGATGCTCTAAAACGAATCCTATGTCCACTGTTATTGTATTAATAAGAGAGAGTGATCAGATCGCGTTCAGCGAGTAGAGTTACAGTTTAGAGAGAGAGAGAACTATTTCAGCTTAAAATCAGCTAATCCCCACAAATGAGAGGAAAGTCCTCTATTTATGATGGGGAAGTTTAAGATAATGATTATGAAAGCTGCAAGTGGGTAGGTGTCGTGCAAATTCTTTCTTTGCGTCACATTGATCACCTGTCCGAGGGATTTCCTCAATTAAAGCAGGGCTTTGACACGTGGGCGATCTCCACCCGCTTGTTGGCCTGGCACTCCCCATCTACACTGACAGGAACCATGCCACTTGCGCTAGGCGCGACGTGGTCGCTCTTGGACGACGCAGAACCCTTCTGAACTCTGACCATCCTTTATTGACGAGGCTCCATATTAGCCCTACTTTTTTAGGCATAACACTCTTATATCATATATCAAATGCATTCTTGTTAACAATTTTTTTTTGAAATACATCATATATACCATTTTTGGAATATATTTTAGTTTTAAATATTTTTAACTTCAGTTTTTTCCTTTTTTTTTCATTATTGAGTTAAGCCAGTTTGCCTGTTGTCTTGTTTTCTTTGGAAGCCCAGTTTGGACCCTGCAACCACATGAACCCATAACTGCCTAGAAATATAGAAATGCAAAAACTTTTTTTTTCTTTTTAATGATCGGGAATGTCCATGCTAGCTTGCATATATCTCAATTAATCCCTTACGGCCCTGAATTTGACAACTGGGTAAATTCCCTCGATGACTATCCTTATTAACAATTCAAGTGAATCGAACTCATAACCTCTTGAGTAATACACCAAAGAGTCCTAGTTGACCACTGGGCCACCCAGTTGTGGTTTAAATTCAAAAACTTTAGTTCATGTTATGCTGATATAATAAAAAAATAAATTACTTTAATTTTTCACATTTCAATAACAAGAAGATAGGGACCTTACAATAAAAATATCCTGAATCCCTTGATTGATTCATCACAAGACAAATTTTGGGCCTCAAAGTCCAAACTTAAGCCACCGGCATTTATAAGCACAGTTATCAGTTGCCTGTTAGGTTTGTAAGGAGACATAAGTGCTATTCACAATAAACTTATCATAAAAACGACATAGACATAGATTTCGTGCTGTTTTATCTAACATTCAAATGCCCCAATTGCATGAATCCAATATCAATCTCGGCCATTTGATTTTAACATCCACAAAAGGAGGTTTTTTTTTTTTTTTTTTTTTTTTCTTGTCGTGCTTTCATTAGTAATAACAACGACCTTGTGGCCGACATCTCGACATGAAACGCACAGCACACCGTCAATGGTCCACCCATCCAATTCGTCTTTACGTTATTGCTTGTTTTTCAAGGATGTGGATTGCTTTTCTCGACATATTTTCCATTACTTTCTTCTTTATTAGTCAGTTTGCTTTTGTAAATCGTAATTCCACATGAGTAGGATTTAAACCAAATAAGCAATTGTTCTATATGGACTGGATCTGAGAAGTAAAGTTTGGTATCGCAATTAGAAGGATTATGACAGAATTATGGCCATTTATATCTTTGATAATGAAACCAAAGATGGTGCTCATTATTGGTCAAGTTTGACTTCAGTTTAGTTGAAGGGACGTTTATATTATAGGTAGGTGTTATATTTAAATATATATTTTAAAGAAATTTGACTGGTTACTTATATATTATCGTAAATGAGCAAAACCGACATTTTTTTTTTTTTTTTGGAATATCTGAATGATTCATTTACATAACGTATTTATTATATATCACCATGTGAATGATAAGGTGATATAAATACCTACAATTAGTTGACAAATTATTTGATGAGATTAAATTTTGGAATAACTTTTTTTTTTTTTTAAATATAATATTACTGATTGCATTCGTGTTACATGCCTATTCTGATGTGAATAGTGTACTGGAACACGTAAACGGAACTTTATACTGTATGGGACACTCCATCGATTCCAAGAATGGCTTTGAGAAGTTAGCAACGACAGAAAACAGGAATGGGAAGTCTGATAGTGAACACAAGTAAGATGCGGGAAAGCAATTAATGGGTTTGGTCCCCTCCGTTCAGGCTAAATTTGAGTGTTGCGGTGCTGCTTCACAATTGATATGGATTTTCTCCTACCATATATACTTTGTCTCTATCCTATCAACTTGTTTGTTCTCACGTGATCAACTCTTAGAAAATCCCTTCTCTGTCTCCTAATAATACAAACACCA